GAGAATTTCATAATAGTTTGTATTTAATTAACTATTAAATAAATAGCTCATATATTTTTCAGATCAAATGTGGACACACAATTTTTATATGGATCCACATTTGAAAATTTAACGGTGAAATAATTTTCACTTTCAAAAAGTGAGCATTCCTAAAATAATTAAAATTATCGATTTAAAACATCGGAATTGCATCTTAAACATAAATAACAATCAATTAAATGTACCATCGACATTATTTTTATTAATTTCCTAGTATTTTTAATTTTTTCAATACGTATGACTTTTTTTTAAACGTTGTTGCCGAGTTCAAACACTGTCCACAAACGATCGAACAACTGTCCAAATTTGATTTTACATGTCCAAATTAGATTTTTTTGTTTCACTTTCGTGTGCCGAAAGTTTGCGTCGCATATTTTTTCTCTTAATGTCAATTAACTCTTGCTAAGTTGATTGATATTTTAAAACCCTAAAAATAGGGAAATATCCAAAGAAGAAAAAGTTATTGACTCTCAAAGTCAAAATATGCAAAAATTAACCATTCATAAATTTTTTACTCTAACTTTTTTTTTCTAAATTGGAAAAATTTATTTGACTCAAATTCTCCAAACCAAAGGTTAATCAAAAATTAATTAACTAAATTCTTATCTATTATTATCTGCAATGACATTAAACAGGTTAACGTTGAAATGCTTCAATCTATTAGCGATGCAGCTGCTGCTAGACTTTATGCAGATTTCACTCAACTATCCCGAGCGGCACACACGGGCAATGTCTCTCACAAATCTAGCATAGGTCTGCCATAAGGCTAAAAAAAATTGACAGTTGCCGATAGGTCATCCCCACGGTGCCACATGGTGCATTTGTGCCGCTCGGGTATTTATGATGTTAGCAGTTTTATCAATGAAATGTTTTGCTTGTATTGTTTTTACAATTTAAATTGAACACCAGGAACAAGTGCCGACACTTTTTCGGCAATTACGACATTTTAGAAGGTTTCATATACGAGATGAGCAGAAATAGCTACTACGGGAGATACGGATTTTCTTACCCTCAGAATTTATCATTCCAAATGCTAATGAAGTTTTGCAATCATTGATTTAAAAGTCGCGTGAGTTTGGATTATTACAAGTGACGCAATGAAAATTTTTTGTTAAAATTATTTGTAGTTTACTAAAATGTCTTAGAAATATTTACCTAGCGCATTCTGTAATACTTACTTGATTGATAATTTCTTAAAAAATCTACTTAATGAATTGGGGGAATTTCAAGATAATGTTCAAGAGATTTAGATAACCTGAAAAGTTGTCAATTGATAAAAAATCCGTTGAAGAATGAAAAAACATTATTTTATTACTGTTTCAGTTGCAAGTTGTACTTCAATCAAAGTGGACATAATAATGAAGCTTACATTACTATCTATTTTTCTTGTTTTTTTGTCAATTCTTGGTGTTTTTTCAGAAAATGCTCGTTTTGACAATTATCGAGTTTATAGCATCGAAGTTCAAAGCAATATTCAATTAAAGATTCTTAATGAGTTATCTGAAACCAGTGATTCTGTAAACTTAAATAACTGAATCATAAAATATCTTCATCTCTAATTATTTTCATTTTTAGTACAATTTTTGGGAAGTACCCACTAAAGTTGGGGTAAATGCTGATTTAGTGGTACCACCTCATCAGTTTGCACATTTTGGGGAAATTGTTGATAAATATAATTTAACAACAAACCTCATCATCTCCAATTTGCAAGAGTAATTAAAATTATTTAAAAGTTATCTATTTTATATTTAATTATTTGAATAAACATAAAGATTCATTGAAAATGAGTCTCCAAAACGTCAAAGAAAAGAAGAAGGCGACATGAATTGGGATGACTATCAGAGCCTTGAGACGATTTATGAATGGCTTGGTTTTCTTCAAAGAGATTTTCCACAATTCATTAGTGTTGAAGATATTGGATTAAGTTATGAAGGTCGTCCGATTAAAGTTGTTAAGTTATCAAAAAAACAGGTACTTGAAAAAAAAAATTTAATGGTCTTGTTATCAAAATTTTACACCCTCCTCATAGAATGCTCGTGCTATTTTCATTGAAGCTCAAATTCATGCGCGTGAATGGATAGCTGGAGCAACTGTGACGTATATCTTAAATCAGCTTTTATATTCAACAAATCCTGATGTCCAAGAAATGGCCTTGAATATCGACTGGTATGTTGTTCCCAATTCCAACCCTGATGGTTATGAATATACGCGAACAAGTAATAGAAACTGGAGGAAAACAAGGTCACCAGTGTCACTCATTTGCTATGGTGTAGATCCAAATCGTAATTTTGCTTACAATTGGTTGACGCCAGATGAAGATGGAAACTTAGGAGCATCAAAGGCTCCATGCAGTGATACTTATGCTGGTCCACATCCGTTCTCAGAAAAAGAAACACTTGCGATTGAAAATTACATCGCTGAAATCAAAGATCGTCTCGATGTTTTCCTTTCTTTTCATTCATACGCCCATCAAATTTTGTATGCTTGGGGTCACACAAAAGCAAACGTTGTAAGCACTTACTTAACTACTCAATTTTGTTAGTGATTAGAAGAACATTTAATGATCTTTTGTTTCATTTTATTTAAATATTTTTAATTATTAAGTCAAACTACGAGCAATTGCAAGCAATTGGTGAAGCAGCAGCTTCCAGATTGATGGAAACTGACGGCATTGTTTATGATGTAGGAACTACTCGAAATATTTTATGTAAGTTTTCATTGGATCATACCTACAATTAAATCTGAAATTTTAATTGCCTCATAGATGCTGCTTCAGGCATTAGTATTGATCATGCTTACGGTCATCATGGAATTCCAATAACCTACACTTATGAAATGAGAGGTAGTGGAACTTATGGCAATTATGGTTTCTTTTTGCCACCACAATTTATCATCCCGAATGGAGTTGAAGTTCTTCAATCATTAATTGGATTGGTATCTAAAGCAAGAGAATTCGGATACCTAGTTAATAATCTGTAAGCTTACTTTTTTTATAGTACATAAAAGCCATGAAAAAATAAATAGAAACAAAAATAAAAAAATAGTTTGTATTTTTTATCGAATAAAGTTGAGTATTGAATTAAACGGCAAGCTGAAGACGCTGGTTCGATTCCCGCCGGAAACACAAAATGAGAAATACATTTTTTCAATTTACTTCTATTAGGTTTTCATTTATACAAAGAACTTCGATAAGCCGATATCTCAAGGGGGACAAAAAAATATCAGATTATCAAGGATATTAGTTTATTGAGGCATCAGCTTGTTGAAGTTCCACTGTCATTGAATTAATAATTTTAAAAATCTTTTAAGCACATCAAAAATCGTCAGCTTCTACCAAAAATTCACTAGTTCTGTTTGTGACAAGTAAAATCACTACCTAGCTGAACATTAGCTGCTTTGGCTATGTTAATTTTATTTTTTATTTTTGCATTTAAGCTAAAAAAACAGGAACCTTTAAGATGCAACATATCTTTTTATTTTTTGAATAATGTATTTACAGGAGTTTATGGATAATATGATTATTGAATGCGTTAGTCAATTTCCCACTATAATATATTAGTTAGTTTCATGAATTGTTCAATTTCTCTTTAATTTATGAATTATGACGTCATGCCCTTTACATTTCAGATATAAAGCTCATCCCACACTATTCATTCAATGACCGATATGTTAATTGACAGAATTTTTCAATTCCAATCGATTGTTGATGCACTTCCTTAGCTTTTAATCATTTATTCGTCGATGAGATCGACAGTTTGACTCTGAAAATAAAAAGATTACGAGGCTAATAAAACTCAATTTTCATTCCTAATTAAAGTTTGATGTTATTTATTATGTAGGTTTTGTGTCAAAGTGAATTAACTAATAACGTCTCGATATGTAAATATGTATATATAAATATACATATTTACACCCCGTTAATAAATGTGAATAAAACTTCCTCAGATCGTTTATTATTAAATTTAAACTACCATTTGATTAAATTTCTTATGTTTAACATTAAAGTGTTAATTTTGATGTTGATATCAAAATATCTCAACCGTTTCATAAAATTTTTATCAATTTCTATTGAGAATATCCATTAAATTGATTTCCTTAATTTAAATGTGTTATTTTTTAATGCTGTTTTTCTTCATCACATAATAACTGATGTTAATGATATGAATTTTATTTTCTCTTCATTTCTTCATTTTAATTCGATAGTTTATTAGAAATCATCCCGATTCTTAAGTTGATTTATCGAACTTTGAAGACTAGAAACTACTCATAAATTCAAAAGTAATTCAGGTTCTTCTTTGTTGTTAGACTTCGATCTTCATTCATCAAGATAAAAAATTCAAAATTCTTAATCGATATTGAATGTGTAATGAATTGATTGGAATCAGCTTCTTTCCGCTCTGCCATCATCTTTTTAAAACTTCATATAAATGAAACTCTTTTGTATACATTTCAAAATTACCAGAAAATCTAAGCACTTATCCACATGAGTACACATGAGTAAAGCAAAAAAGGATTGATGTTAATTAACAGCAGTTAAATATATAAAATAGAGAGGGAATAACGAAGTGAAAACGATAATTAAGCTAATAATGATTGTTACAATCTATCAATGATAAATGGTACATTGAATACTGGAGAGCACTTTTAAGCGTCTTAAAAATAGTTCAAGCGATGATCGTTCGACCGTCAAAAAAACTGACTTCAAAAGTGTAAAAAATTTACGCTGAAAAGAGAGCAGTAATTCGATGTAATTAAGTTTTATTGTTAGACTATAACCGGATGATCTACCGTCATTAAAAGTATCTTTGTCAGATGTTAGGTCTTAAGACAATTTTCTTTTGTTTTCCTTGTTAGCAGTTCAAACATTAATGTGTTAAGAAGTGTCTGATAGATAAACTTAAATGTTGTAAAATTGTAAAAAGAAAGAATAGAAGCATGTATTAATTAAAGCATCATTTTAAGGACATAAAATAACTAAAAATCATTTAATAAACCGTAAAATGATCCCTTAAATTTAAAAGTTCTCAATCGTGATTAATTAGTTTTCTGAATTCATCAATTTTTCTTTTATCCTTAGCATGACTTTTGTGCTGAAAAGGAATCATACACAAACTCAATAAATTGATCTGATGGAGAAGCTCTTCAAGAGCCAAGTCTTTTGTTCATAATTTTACCGGTTTGTTAAAGGAAATAAAACAATAAAAGCGAGAAAACTCCAAAACCAAAAATGTGTTCTGAAGATATTCTTACGATTCATTTATATATCAATTACAAAACAATGTGAAGACGTTCTAAGTCATTTATAATAAGTATCAAATGTTAGATTACTTCTTGAACCTCATAATACTTAAATACATTCAAATTGTGTATCCATAAAAGTGCATTTTGAAAAAGATTCTCAACTTATAAACGTTACTATTAACAAAAATTATTTCCTTGAAGTAGAAATCATTATTTCTCATTATCGATCAATTCAACTTTGTCTGTTCTTTTTACATATAACAATATTGTATTCAAAAAGTATATAAATAACTAAGTGATGCAAATGAATGGAAAATCACTGTGAAAAATAAGTATCGTGGTTTATAAGGCTTCATTCTATAATCATAATAATAAAGAACATTAATATTTACTTCATAAGTGGATTTCAAGTAACACTCACCAATAAAATCCTCGCTTAGTTGGTTGCAAACTGCTCAAATGATTTTTAAATTAGCAAATAATGAAATTATTACGAATTAGAACACTTCCAATTTGCGATTATTAAATTATGTAAGTACTTAAACTAATTTGTCACCCTGACAATTTGTTTCTCGTCATGCTGTGTCTGCTTTCTTTCTTTCTCTTATTAACTTGAGGGTTCAACTCAAATTGTCGTTCACTCATTCATGTTTTCATGATGCTGTAATTAAGTGCAGTGAGGTGAAAGTAACACTCATGAATAATATATGAATCAAAAAAAAATGTTTTGTTGTTCTTGTTCATCTCTAATTCACCCCAATCGAAATAACATTTGCAGAAAATTTTTCCAAAAATTCTATGAATTTATTTCAACAAGCAAATATTGCATAACCCACAGTCATCAATTATCAAAGCTATGAATAATTAATTTAAAAGAAATTAAATTTCAATTCAGAAGTTATCGAAGTGAAAATTTTCCAACAACATGACGATTCTTCTCGCAGGTAGATCGAATGAGGTGAGCCATGAATGATTTTAACACATCATTAATAATGTAAGAAACATAGAAAAAAGTGTAACAGAAGGTAAGTATACTAAATTTTTTTTTAGATGAAATTGTTAGACTTTAATTTATGACATCTGTTTTTAGTCTACGACGACGTTACACGATAATTGTTTATTCAGGTTTTATACTTAAGCTTCTATGATCATCAATGAGTGTGTTTCAGTTAACAAACAATTAGATTAAACCACAAAGTGTTCAGTTTTCGTTTCGTGTAATTCATAAATGCTTTCAGAAACAGTTTCAACTCGCTCAACAACTAAAGAAAATTAACTGAAATTAAAGCGATTGACAAAAAAGGGCATGAAATAGTAATTTACGAATTAAACTTTTCTTTCTACTTTTTTTTATTTTGCGGCTGTTCCGGCCTGAAAACAAAAACCAAACCAATTATTTCTTGCTTAATGATTTGGTGTTTCCTTCGAAGCCGACCTGAAACATCAACATTTAGTAAGCATATGTCGTTCCTCCAGCTAAATATGAAATTTTCGTTTTCTGCAGGTTTATATTTAATTTAATACTCACGCTTTAATGACTTTTCAATTATCGTTTTACTGTTCTTTAGTATCTATGAGGTGCAAAAACGCTAAAATTTTCAATCATTTGACGTTTATATATATGTATGTAAGTATGCATAATGCATTTGCATAGAAGATATAATCTTGACTTCTTTAAGTCTTGAAAATTCCTTTAAAAAAGATTAACAATCATATTAAATAATTATATAAACACATTGATGCATATTTTTCTCTGATTTATGTTCAATATAATTTGAAAAAGTCATATCTAGATAGCAGTTTTATAAAGCCATTTATTCTATGTAATTCTCATCGCTCAATGTGTACACAAATGTTTACAACTCATTTTTCAAACTCAATCCTCCTTCTTGCACTAACATGAGCTGTTTATATAAAATAAAAACAAACAATCGAAAACTGTTGTCAGTAGAGCGAGAAAATTCTTACAAAACATTTCTCATTTAATTTAGTGCCATTATAAAAACTACAAATATGTATGTAGATACTTATATGTATATATTTCATCATTTGTTAATATATTCGGTTATGAATGTTGGTATAACTTTTTTAAAGATCATTCATTACTCTAAATAAATGCTTTCAATTTCCACTGTCAATAAAAAGAAATGTTTACAATTTAAAAAAAAAAATCATCAAAATTGAACACAAAATTTATTTCACTTTTTCTACAAAATAGATTTGTTTTATTAGATACTTATTACCATTCATAACTTGATGCTTGCATTCACATTTATCATGTACATATTAAATATAAATTGAATTATAGAAGAAAAACTAAACAAGAAAATTTCATAAGTTGTTTCAAATGATTAATTTAAAATCATAATTCATTGTTGCTTGTTGAAAATGATCACTGAAACAAACAAACATCTTAATTTATCATTATCTATAGTTGTAAGTTAAAAGTATCTAATTATAAATATTTGACGTTACAATCTCACTTATATGAAAGCTTCTTGAAACAAAAAGCATCAATTCAAGTTTTTGCAATATTAAATAAGAAATAAATGAACTTTTCTTTTCCACTTTTTTTTCTTAAGACCAACCAGATTGCAAATAAAATAAAAATTGAAAGGAAGAAAATATTATTTTCTTAAATACTTATTATATGTAACTATGTACATTTAAAAGCCATTATCAAATAAAAACTCGTTTTCGATGGAGTATTAAATTTACTCTATCAATAAAATATCTAAATTCATCCTATTTCAGATGCTGTTATAATATAATTAATGTATTTCTCTGAACCATTTATAGAACATTTTTTTCCATTTTATTGAAATGTGTAAGAACCAAAATATTTAATTTTTTCCGATTCCCAATGCTCTTATGTGTTTTGCCTACTTTGTTATGAGACACTTCATCGACAAAATGGAAAAAATAAATATATGTAACTATGAAAAAAATCCACGTTTGCGCTTTCGTGCTTTTATGCAAACACTGGGGAAAATGGCTACAAACAACCATCAATATGAATAAAATCAGAATTCTTAAACTTGAATTGTTTCCTCATTATCACTTTGTGAGTTACTTTCGGAATGTCCCTCAGGACTACCAGGGTTTAGTGTTGGACTTGGAGATCTCCTAGATTCATAAATTTTACTGCTATTATTATTGTTACTGTAAAAATTACTTAGAGACGATAATGAACTGGATACTGAAAGGGGGGGAAATTGAGAAGCACTTGGACCAGAGATTGAAGCAATCGGTGACATTCCGGGTGTGCCAGGGTATAATCGATATGGTAAAGGTTTTTGAAGTGCTGCTGCAGCAGCTGCTTGTCGATAATACAGATCAACTGTGCTTGTGGGGTTTGCTGAAGGTACTTGTGGTGGATAAGGCCAACCACCGATGTAAGGTGGTCCACCGTATAGTCGTTGAAACGCTGCATAATTTCCTGCCTCAGCTAGCAATTCCAATCCCACTGCAGTCTGTCGTTTCCACTTCGTTCTGTTCAAAGTAAGCAAAATAATGATAATCGAAAGTGTCACAATCAAATAAACAACATTAATGATAAGTAAAAAAAATTATGGTCAACTAAATGCTTCCGGTGTTGAATTATTTTCGAAGGTAGTTTTCTGTAGTTTTTTTTACACCACCAAAAGTATTTAAGAGTAACTGGCTAAAGAAAAGACATGAAAGTGACAGTTGATGAATTAACAAAAAAAGTTTTAACAGTCGTGAGCATTTCTCACTCTCTTTTACTATCACGGGAAAAAGGCTCTCATGTGAAAAATGATGTATTCATGAAAATAAAAGGAAATGTTTTATGTGCATTTTTGGACGTTTAATAAAAATGTAACTATGCAGTTTAAAAAAGGTACTTCGTGCTTAGGGTTACGTTATTAAAATATTCGGTCACATGAATTATTTACATAGAAATATTAAATGGAAAACTATAAAATATAGTTACACAACTTATCGAGACGCCCTATTAACCCGTCATAACTGTCTGTTTTCTTAAAAGTTTCGATAAACATCATGACTGTAATTTTAGATGTAAATCCAGCAGTTTATGTGGAAAGTACAAAATGCCTTCAACATTTTTATTTCACTTTATTTTTTGAAATTTCAACTTTCACTCCTCTTCAGTGGGTAAGCTGTTGTTTGTGTATGTTTTCGTAACCAATTATCCTTGCATTTAATTTAAAAAAAGATGAAATTCAATTCGCCTGTAATTGTTCATTTTCAATCTCCGAAAAAACGATCAATTTCAGAATTTTAGGGACTTCAGAAAATTAGGAACAATAAGGAATATTTAAAAGAAATTGAATAAATTGCTATTGAACAAAAGAAGTTTATAAATATATGAGAAGACCTTTAATTTCAATTAATTGCTGAGATTCCATTCCTGCTGCACTAGCAGCCATAAGAGCAAGAAATAAGAAAAAATGAATTTTCATTGTAAATTGAAGGCAAAAATTGTAAGTAAACATAATTAGATGGTTTGAGTTAAATCTGAGCAACGGTTATTGTGTTTATAACAGGCAGTGCACTTAATGACTGCCTTATCGTTTATCAGTAAATATGTGTGTTTCATATAAAAGGCAAAACAAGAAAGGAAGGGAAACACTAAGTGCTCAATATTATGTTTTATTTAAACATGGAAATCGTACGATATATTACACTGCAAGGAGGGCGAATTATCACGCAAGCCAAACTATTTTCCCTATTACGGCTCATTTAGTCAAACTGTTAATGTTTTATGCAATAAAATTACAATTTATTTTGACTAATAACACGGACATTAAAAGTCGAATAAATTTTGGTGATGGAATGGGCTACAAAATTGGATCGCAATTGCTTTCAGAATGTTTAATCCTAATTAAATGTTTAAAATGCTGATGTCTGTTTGAAACACTTTCTATGAGTCAATAATATCTAACAAACAGTTTTGAAATTACATTCGTAGATGCCTACAATATGTATGTATCGGTTTCAAGGCCCAAAAAATGCATTTCCAGTTCCGATGAACAATAAAAACACGCTCGAGGAAAATAATTATTTTTATTTTGCTGTTTGGCATTCTCTGACGTTCTATGCCTGATGATTCTTTTTAAATTGATACATGTTAACTTTGCTTTTAATGTTTTTAACTTCACTTGGAACAATTGCTATCTTCAAACGTTTGTTATTTAATGCAATAAATTACAAATCACGCTTTGATGCCTCAAAATGAAATCTAGAATTCCGGGGAACATGTTCATATGCAAATTGACTGCACAATAGGTTAAACGAGTAGGATTGTTAAATGAGCATTGACAATTTGTAGGGAAGACATATTTAATATCAATGGATACGCAATAATCAGTGATTATCTAACGGTGTTGTCACAAAAGATGTTATTTATGACACTAACGTTTGAAAGTCAAATGGCTTAATGAGTGTGATATCGCCTCCATTTAAATTCATTTCAAATATTTATCACTTCAGAAGTGAATCAGAAGGGAAAAAGAATATTCTTCTATTTAGACTATGCAGTTTAAAGTGGATAATTAACAGATAATATGAAATATACGTGAAAGAAAAGTGCTGAGTTGTTTTCAGTCTCGTCAGGGAGTTGTTTTTTCCTTTGTTTGCCTCGCTTGACTTCATCTTACGCACATCATCTTTTTTCACTATATGAATGGCGCCTGAAGCGAGCCGTTTTATTGAAATCACCTACCTGTCAATGCTCAAATATTTTGCCGATGATTTCAAATAAAATTCCACGAAAAAAAAAAATTAAAAACGTTTAAGATAAAAATCGATGGATGAAAATATTCAAACAAAAATTTATGTCTCTAAAATTAATTGACAGAAGTTTGATTTTCCGATTATACTTGAAAACAAAATCTATGTAGATGAAAATTTCAAACGTAGCTCATATTATAAATTCATCCCGTAGCCACCAAGCATGCCCAATGATTTTTTTAACAACCACCGGCTTTTAAAAGCAAAAATTATTTAACAAAGGAAAAAATATATAAAAATCAATCATCGAATTTAATTCAGTTGTTAAAAATTCATATTCCCAATAAAGGAACAAAACATCTAATGATTGATGAGCGCTCATCACAATTCCAACGAAATATTTTGTCTATTAAGCATCATCATCAGATTTCTTTCAATGCTTATAATACTTAGAAGTTAAGAAACCAACCGCTTGCTGTCGGCTTGGGATGAAAATAAACACCGCTAAATGATGAACTTCTTATGTATATTCATTCGACTCTAAATGGGTATCATTTATTTAGTGCCTCTAATTGTTTCATGTGTTCATGATGAATGGAAAGAGAATGTAGTAGTTTCAACCTAAGCTATTTACAAAACCAAGAATTGCTTGTCATTACAGCCAATGATGCGTTAAGTGTTTTTTTCTCTTCTTCGTGATTGTGTAATAAAAATATACAAATATTTGAGAGCTTTAAATTTAATATGTAGGTATTCGTAAAGCATCGAAAGAGCCATGAAATAATTCGATAGTGGCGTTAAAATTCTGGTGCTTTCAATTTGAAAAAACAAAAAAAAAATGATGAAATAAATTTTTTTAAGCAGTTTATGTGACAAGGAAATCAAAATTTACCTTCGATTCTGGTACCACGTCTTGACCTGTGTGTCAGTAAGGCCGAGTTTATTGGCCAATTCCATTCGATCCTGAACGCTAAGATATTTTTGTCGCTCAAATGTTTTCTCTAGAGTTTGAAGTTGATGGTCTGTGAAGGCCGTTCTAGCCTTTCTCTGCTTTTTACTTAATCCTGGCGTCCCATTCAATCCATTCTTCAAACTCCCCTCGTCATCTTTGTCACCTGAAAGTGAACGAAAAAAAGGAAAAATTATTCAATAATATTTCCTTTCCATGTTCATAATTTTATGAGGCGATTAAAAAGACCTGAGACCGGAAACCACACAAAAATCAACTTAAACACCATTTTATCGGAAAATTTCTGAGTGATATTTACAAACATGAAGTTTTTCAAGTCCAAACATAGAAATAAAAATAAAAATTATGAATTATAGACAGGTGAATTCTTACTGACTCGTAAAATGAGAATTTAACTTAAGTTGGAATTGACTCAAAATGTGATTTAGAACATTTGTATTTTTTATTTGACAAATTTTTGAATTGTTTCTTTGTATATATTTCATAAAAATTGGAATATGCACAAGCAGATGAGAATATTTCTTTAAAAACTAATCATTACCACTTTAATGAGCAAAACTTAATTCTATTTCTTGGACCATGTTAAGAATTTTTAATCGTATTAATTCGCTCATTTCAAAATGAAGTTCATGCCCAAGTAACCACCAAAAAACTGGTTCAGTTTACGAGGCTAAGAACTAAAGAAAAATAAGGTAATTTACATATTAAAACGTAAAGCAGGAAAATTAAGAGATCTTTATCAACTATTAGTTTCCCTTATGTTTTTGACTGAACTTGAGCAGCATTAAAGCATTTCAGTTGATGGCTACGTAAGATTAAATACATATATAATCACTTCTTAATGCTTTTTGAAAGAATGTAAGGTAAAATGTACTATTAAATTAAATTAATTCTTCGAGCTGAATTGTGAATTAAAGTTTTGCACGACTCAAGTCGACTCTTCACTTTGATTGTTGAAAATGTGGAAGAGCGTGTAACAATAATTAAGATGCTTGACCATAATTGCTTATGAATAACTCAAAATATTTTTATATAAAATATTGTAGAAGATCCTGATGATGATGACATTTTGTCATCGAAACTAGTCGACGGAATAAAAGTTGAGAAAAGATCATCACTAGTCTGAAAACCGTAATTTGTTTCATTAAATCATTAAAAAAACATCAGACGTATAAATATTACATCAATTCAAAATATTACTATTCCCGGAATAAATTTATTGTTATTTACATTCCCAACTCTTTATATTTTTTCTCTCAGGTGGTTTTCTTTTGGATAAATTTACTAAAAGACCAATTAGAGACACTTTAATAAATTACTTTAAGCTCCGTTTTACGGAGCTCCCGGAAGCAATTATCATGAAACGATCTGCAAGTCTTACAATTTAATATGTGAAGTTTATATTAAAGCTTAGCCTTGAAAAGATGCGGTTGAAAGGTTTGAATTGTTCTGTTCTAAGTAAAGAGATGACTTAGATTATACAGGGTTAAATTTGACGCAATTTTCGGTTTTGTAACTGGTTTTTGAAATCAATTGTATGTGTTTCTAGGCAGTTTTTGTGAAGAAAAACGAAATTAACAAAATAAAATTCTGGAATGTACATATTTTAAATATATTTAAATGTAAAATGTTTTCTTTCTCATATTTCAAATGATCATTTTTATGATTCTAATTTTGAACGAAAATTCTGCCAACTCTACTAATCAAAGGTTAAGTTGCTTAAACATAAATAAATATAACCAAGTTCTGAAGGTATAAGGAGTGAAGTGCATTACTGCTGTTATTGGAGTCATTAACGCAACGCATAATTCCCCTATCCATCATAACACGAACATACTAAAGGAAGCATAATTTTTATTAAAGAAATAAAAAGCTCGCTAACATTAAAATGGCACTAAACACAGTAAATGAGTCTAAATTATTGCGCTTCTGCTATTTCGCTTATGTAATATAATTCATCAACTTTAGGAAAGAATGAAGTTAAATGCAATTTATGTAAGGAAACAATTTCAGTTTGCGCCTAATTAAATTCATTGTATGTAATTCTTTTGCAGTTTTTGTCTGCAAGGTAAGTTTTCAAGTTTTATGTATTTGTAAAAGTGCATTGAATGGATAAAAGCATGTAGTTGTTATATCTCTCATATGTGTGCACAATTACTGCATCAGAAGTTAAATTTTAACGGATTACATTAAAAATTGTGCATTCTTAATCAAAAGTAAAACCTTTCAAATGAAGTAAAACTTTGTGTCAAAAAATATAAAATAACCGAAATTCTTTGCATCAATATTATTATTTTCACAAACGAATGTGATACGAACTTACAAGAAAAAGAATTTATGTTTCACATCTGCTTCCTCAAAGAAAATGAGTATAATGTAAAAAATTAATTACTGAGAACGAAGAGTAAATTATATCAAGTAGTTAAATTCACCTTGCGTGTCATGCGTTAATAATTTTGGACTAAATAAATTTTTAAACAATTATCTACAATCTTCATGTTGTTGGTTTTATTTTCTCATTCTTTTTGCAAATTTTTTCTGTTAAATTTTTATCATAAAACTACTCTTCTAATGAAGAAAGGGTTCGAAAAAATATTTTCCATAGAGAACACTCAAGGTTTTTTTTAGAATTCAGAGAATTTATCGAGAAAGATAAAAATGAAATCAGGAAACTTATTGAATGACCTAAATTATCTTCCTTTTCAATTCATTCCTATTCAGAAAAAAAACACATAAAATTAATAATATTCTTCCTTCCTTTTTAATTAGAATCGTAACTACACAGCAAGATCTGTAAGTTGATCTGATTTTGTAAACACCCACCGCATTTTAACTTCTTTAATTTTCTTCGCCACTCATCAAATGAGCATAATGAAATCTCATTAACTTGTTCCATAAATCATTGCTCGGTCCGAGTTCTGCTCATTTCAAATTAGTTTAATTGCTATGAAGTACGCTTGTTTAAGATGGATGTGAAAAAAATCACAGGAGGGCGAAATGGGCATTCTTCGATTTCATATTATAATTAAACTCAACTTCATTTTAATCCGAAATTATTCACCCATTAAATTTTAACACGTTTATATTAGATGTGTGTATATCTAATCGGTTAGTTATATTTTTATTATGCATAAATTATTATGCTTTGTTTCTTTCCCTGCAGCTTTTGCTTACAGTATTTTACAATTAGTGTATTACTATAAACTAAAAGCAAAATGAGATTTTTCCGTCGGTGATCTTATTAGATTTTTTTCGAACTTACTTGAATCACAATCACTATCATCATCGTTGTCAGGAATCGAGCTCAAGAAAACGCTGAGATCACTTGGCTGAGGGCTTGGAACACGATCAATTGGCGTCAATTTCCCATTTCCACCAAGAATATCTGTAATCATAAATTTTGAACGTGGTGGATGTTGAAAAGGAGACATCGTAGATGGACCACGTTGCATTTGCTTTAACACCGTCATTTCAGTCAAAGCGTTTATCTCCTCAACTTGTTTATCACTACGGTTCATGAAATGCCGCGAAAATATTTTCCCGAAATTTCTAACTTTCTGAATCACTATTTTTAATTTTAACACTCAAATTGTTTTTGAGGAATTGACGCTTGCGATTTTCAATTTATTGTCTGTTTTTTTAAAGCGAAACAAGCAACAGAAAAAATTATGTATGCTCTTTTCACTGCTTATTCCATTATGTAAGGTGGCTAAAAAGGTTTTATAATAATTTAATGCTCCCCTGAGTCTACTTTTTCCAGCTTTTGTTAATCGTTTGTTACACTTCTCTCAAGCTCTCACATTCGTAAACATATTAGCATTTATGTTACTGCATTTACTTCCATTTATGTTTCTTTATGATAATGAACGATTCACATTAATTAATATCGCTTTACACTCGGAATAATTTTCCACGAAAGCCTAGGTGAGCAGGGTCAATGGAAGGAGATTAACTTTTATTTTTTCTGTTTCTCTATAGATATGTCATTAATCAATAATTGATTGAATGAAGTTGTCACAAGCATTAAAATAATCGTGAGAAATTATCATTGAATTAAAAGTACGTTTAACTAAATATTCGTGTTAGACCCTTAAACGTTTACGAACATTTAATTACACATATAGATAATTGTTCACTACTATGGATTGACTTGCTTATCATCTCGAGATCAACTAAATTATTTTCTTTTACGAGTAAAAGTACTAAAGCTTCCTCACAATTGTGATGTCGAAAGAACACTGAAAATATTCGTATAGGAAAATATCGGAGTGAGAATGATATAAAAATAATACTAACACATAAGCTTCGAATAATAGCACTAACACTCATAATACTAATCACTGTGGTTTCATTTTTCTGTTTTCAACTCTAATTCGTTCGTGTTAAGTATTATTTGACATGATAAATTAACTCAATGCTCATACCGCTTCCCTTCATTGAATCCAATTCTCTTTTATTGCCCTTCGTTGCTATTTCTCGTCGAAAATCATTGCTCCATGGATGTATGTAGTATACACAACACTACTGAAGCATTATACACTGTGTAAATATAAATGTATTGATGTTCAAAAGTTTTACTCTTCCCATCCACACATTTTGCACAAAACATTCAATGATAGAAGGAATAAGAAAAAGACAAAACGAAACGTTTAACTGTAAAAGAGGCACTTTATTGAATGAACAAACAGAAAGGAGGAGCTTATGCTCGCCCATAAATGATTCTTTAACCAATGTTGAAATGCTTCCTTTTTACTCCACACATATCTAGGTACTTTCTTTTAATATTTTCATCGTTATAGGCATTTACTCGGAGCTACAACTTTTTTCTTATCATAAAAATTCAATAATATTGCTAGGTAGATTTTTTGATTTTTTTTATTTTAAATTATAACAGATTCCAGGAGAGAATAGAGAATTGGAAGTTGAGAGTGGCTTTTCCCAATAAATAAATTAACTTAAATTTAACAACTGTCGTTTTCGTCAGCATGTTGTCAAAAGACGTACAAATGAATAGAATAAAGTACCTATAATGATACGCAATTCCTTTTTTAAATATAACATTTTACAACGTAAAAAATGAAAACAACAATTAAAAACTCTACAATTTCCATCTATGTATATTTCTGTAATTGTACATGTAGGTACTAACATTACATGTAATGATTAAATGTGAAAATTAAATCTCAAAAGAAAAAACATGATTGAGGAACGATTTAGGAATTTAAAACTAAAATTATGAAAAATGGCAAAACGTTGATTTCAAATTTCATTTTTGTTTACATGAATCAAACTGTAAACTCATTCAACACCCATATCGTAATAGTTTCAATTGAACATATTTGTCTGGAAGCAAATAGATGCTTATAGTTTGATTGTGAGAATATAAATGATTGCAGTAAATCATAATTCTAAATCATACTCACCGAAATAATAAACAACACGAAAACCGTATTTTCAAGTTTGTTGCTCAGAACTCTAATCGTGTACCTGGCTGGGGTAAAAAAGTCGACATGCAATAACGAGTGCGAATTGTTTCTAACTTCAGCAGTATTGCGCTTTTGCTAACAACAAAGCCTCGAGACATTAGCTATTTGAAAAAAACTCATGTTAATTCTTAATTTCTCTTCATAGTCCAACTGCTGATAATCACCATTTAGAGCGACTAAAATAAAAACGTTACTCACAATTTGTGTTCTTTCAACCGCGTTAAAGCGCGAGGGAGAAAAAAGTCTCTGTCGTGACGTGACTCGAGACTTTAATCAAGATCCCTACAACATTTTTTATCGTCAAAGCAATTAAATGTCGAAATTATTTAGATGTTTTTGTACTTTTTATACATTTGTGCAGTCTCAAATAATTTTCAATATGTTTAGATTTCGTTTCATCATCAAATAATTAATTAAATTTAAATCAAACAAATGCTCAATGATATCAATTTACACATTATTTCAGGAATTCTATGCATGCAATTTTCACTTAACACGGATGTTTTTAAAAATTGAATAAACAAACGCCACTTAAACAATCAGAATAGTTAAGTCTGTAGTTCCACATTCTGATTTATTACAAGCTGTCACAATATTTTTAATACTAGACTTGATATCATTCGTTTCACATGATGAATATGAAAAACATTAAATTATTTTTCCACAACAACTGATTCTAAGGCTGGAATAAACTCATGTTTCATGTGTATTCATGACAGAATTTTTATTCTGTCAGTGGATGAATCAACTTTGATTATCAGAAAATTATATTGTACGTACCTAATTTTTCTAAAATTCTTAGTCATCTTAACTTTCTTCGTTCGTTCAAAAATTTCACGTCATTCTGTAAGATTTTGCATCAAATGGCTTATAGCATGGTGGTTTAATTTAATGTGATCAACGAAAATACAAGAAGAGACAATGGGAAGATGAACATTAAACGAGCCATAAAAATGAAGCTCTTTTTTTTTAAATTGTGCATTTTACAGACAAAAAACTCATCATTATGAACATTAAATATTAAAATAACCGCCGAAAAAAACAAATCGCAACGAATTTCAAGCGATTCGTCGTATTCAATTGTTGTAATATAAAAAACTTACTTCCAGTCTTAAACGACGTGGAAAAATGATGATTTCATTATGTATTAAGACAATAAATAAAAACTTTTCCGCAAATTTAACAGTGGTGTAAAAAAATCTACCTATTTTCAACATAATTCTAAAGAAATTTTGTATTTTAAAATCGAATTTTAATTCGATTCAATTCTTTTAATTTAATCAGTAACTAATAATTTGGAAAAGCAATTTCAATACAAGAGGATGACATGAGAATTCATTCCACTGCTTTTTCATTCATTGGAAAACGAATCACAAAAATCTTAAACTTATGCTCCTCCTTTTTAGTTCTATTATTCAAAAAAAGATTGCGTTTACCTTTCAACGACGGTCAATATTTAATATTTATTTAATATACATATTATCTATTTCGTTAAATACATCTATGTAAAAATTCAAATTCCAAGTAGGTGCATTGAAAATATTTATTAGAAGAATGTAATAGTCAATGTTACATTCACGGAACATCTTCAAAATTTTAATCATCTTCATATGATAGTTTCTTCAATAATTTACCTCTTAAAAAACGAAGGTCGGACGATGGTACTGATGAGATGAAGAATTAATGAATGAAAAATTGTTTCTTCTGGTTTGGAGTCTGGTGTCTGTTCTTACTAACTTCGCATCTCTTTTGTTTTTCCTTCTCAAACCTGTATCTAAGTCTACCAGCTAGCATCATGTATGTGTGTTGACGTGCAGTCGAAATGACATTGCGGTGTGAAATTAATAGAATCATGAAATATTATCCAACTCTTAGATGCTTAAAAAACCTTTCGTATTTTCGGGTTTGTCAGGTATGAAGATTTAGTATAGATGTTGGCGACGTTTAGATTGCCGGTGAATAGAAAAAAAGAAGTAATCTTGGAGAGAAAGGAACAAGAAATATAAAACAAATTAAACTAAATTGATGGATACAGTTTAACTTCAGGTAGAGAATGCCGACGAGACAGCAAAAGGCAAATCATATGCGACTAGAAAGGAACTGAAAAATGTAAATCAAGTCGAGTGTGAAATGATCAATCAAATTCGTTAATAAAACTCGCCAACGATGTTGAACGAGACGAGATGAATTTGAACAGGTTTCAAAGGTGATGAAAAAGATTTGTCGATAACAAACCACTTTGGAATCCACATTCAAACAAAATGTGTCGTAAATTTATGGGATGGTGACAAAGAATCTTGCTGAGATGACCACATGACTCTCAAATGATTCTTTTTATATCACAACAGAATTGCTTTGTCTTACCGGCGTTGTCATTTCTTTCTGTAAAATAAGGAAAAAGGAAAAATCGTTTAGAATGTTAATAAAACTAAATAAACTATCTTGAGACTAATTTACAAAATAATTCACACCGACAGACGATATTGTTGTGCTTCTCATCGTCTCATCCATTTACGAGTTAAAATCCCCAACAAATATGTTTAATAAAATTTATTTCAAAACACTTTCTCGCGACAAGCTTTTTCGATTTCTTTTCGCGTTTGTTGCGCCAAATAAATTTGTAATATTCCATTACGAAATGTATCACTTTGTGGCATTGTGTGGATTAGTCGGACGAAAAAAATTGAGTTGATAATTCTATGTAAAGAATGACAATGACGAATGTTGTTTGATTATGAAAGGTGCAAGCAAGCAACCACATCCTCACTGAGTTTAATTGCTTATCAAAATGAGACATTTATGGTGACAACACAAAGTTCTGAAATTTCTCCAGCAATATGAATTAAAAACGTTCGATAAGATGAATGAAAATGCTTTTCATTTAATTAGTTTGTTTTGTGGTCATTCCAATGATGCCACTTACTGTAGATAGAATCTTTTCGTCGCCCTTTTGGGTTAACAAGAGATAGTATTCAACACTCAAGAAAAATAGAAAAAACCAAGGAAAAGAAATGAGATAAAAAGAAACACAATAAATTGAAACAAGCAATCGATAAAGTCTTAATTCCCTTTAATGTCTGTCTTAGGCTCACAAAGCAATCTCAAAACTTTCAACGTAGGTGTCGATTTATTTATCTATTAGTGATGACATCAAATTAAATGAAAATTATTTTAATAAAATAGCTTTTACAAATCAGGCAAACGAGTTTGTTGAAATTAATTTATGACACAAAGAAGGAAAGTTCTATCAAGTTTCTATATCAAGAAATAAAGTAATTCATGTATGGGATTTGAAAAATTTACTCTGCATTCATATCATCTCGTGATCCATTGTAGTTGTTAAAACACTTTTATTTATTAATGGAAATAAGACAACCAAATTTTAAGTTGTTTCGTTATCGCACTCAACAATTCATTCGGGACGTTTTATTTCCTCGTGTTATAATTCGAAACAAATATCGAAAAAGAGAAAAAAAATGTTTTTGTTTTTATATTTTTATCGCAAAATTTTGTTAGCCGTGCCCCTCAAATTGGATAAAAAATTGTTGGAAATTTGTTGAAATCATTTTGTATTAACTTTTATCAACTTTTTAAAGAAATGTTTTAGAGCTTGTCAGGCTAATTGATAAAAAAGTGAGATGTTTATTTCAAGAGATAAGAAAAAAAATCGTGAATTGCTTACTTGCAACACAATGACACAATGCATTAAGTTAAGGATAATATCTGATTCGAAATTCGAATGAGCAATGCATTACTTAAATTTTTTGTGTACTTTCTATTTATTTAACTACATATTATAAATTTTTAAAATATCTAACTTTATTAAAAAAGTGGGAATGACTCCGTATTTAATAAAGAATTAAAAATGACAAAATCTTTGAAGTTTCAAAATACTCCTGATGAAGCATTATCACTTCAAAGCGATTAATAATTTACGATTAGATTTTAATCTCACTTTTCGCTTGATTCAAATTTGTTTGGAATGCAAATGAGACAGACACGAAATCAGAAAGGTTTTATTTAGGTAAGTATGAAAAAAGTTCAACTTGAAAATAATATAAAATCTTAAAATTAATATAATTTTTCTACTAAAAATATCAAAGTACAGTAATTTGAAATTATTTTTAAATTAATGTAAAAATTCCTTACTTCATATCATAATGCTTGAATCTGTCTTCCTTCTAGTGTGTATTTCAAGTTAATGGAAGTGAATTAATATGATACGACAAATATTTAATTCTTGCAAAATAAATAAAACTTTACGAAACGCTTTTCGGATTTAACGCGGAAATATACGAAAATTTATGTCGATTAAATTAAGATAACGATTCTCAAAAATCTTTAAGTTGACGATAGAAAATTTGCAGCTTTCTCTCTAAAACTTGAAATTATATCATGTTAGTACGCATGTCAGATACAGGAAAGAGATAATGGATGCTGGAATAAATTTTTAAAAAGAACATCTAGATGCGACTTTATACTGTTTGAACATCTAAGTACTTAATAGAGAATATTATCACATATATACATCACCATAAACATACTTTTCTTATAAATTATTCAAGATCGCATGTGATAAAGTTAATCAATGGAAATGTGATGACTTCATAAGTAATTCATGAACCATCAAAGTCCGTAATGCTTCCTTTTTCAATTTTTTTTTCATAAGTAAGCATTATGAGGAGTGTTCACGCACAAAACAGGTGTTTAGTTTTCTGACTCAAAATGGAAACTTTTGTTCATTAAATTGATTTTTAAAAACCATTTTTCGGCCGTTTTATCGACACTTAAAAGTCAGTAGTATGAGACTTACACGGAAATAATAGAGAAGGTTTATAAATTGGATTATTAATAAATGATAATAATAGATCATGACCCCACCACTGTTTGATTGAATTTCGTTCAATGAAAGTTCTTTATCATAACAACCTTTTTCCCATGAATAATATTTTGACTTGTACATATTTCAGTCTGTAGACATCATCATAATTTTGTGTTTTGGTCTTTATTAGAAGTGAAATAGATTAACATATTCAAAATTTATATACGAAGTTTACGGAATGGTGTAATCTAAGTTGAATTTGATTTGAACAATAACTTGAAATGTATTTCTTTGATTTTTTTATATGTAGAATTTTGATAAAATTATTCAAGCACCTATTACAGGACATGAATCAATTTGGATATAACTTTAAGTTATTACTTGTTCATGAAATCATCATTTAAATTAACTTATTGAAATTTGAATCAGATAGCTAATAAGTAAGTTGATTTATAAATTAGTTTCAATATTTTATATTTCATGATTTGGTTTTTATGGCGTGGTTAAACTATCAAAACAGTAGGAAATACGAAAATTTGAGTTGTTCAACTCTTTCACATTCGAAATCTTTTCATCATTAATTTATATTTGTATCTGAAAAGGCCATAAACTATTCCATGTACATAATTGAACATGATAAGTCAACAATCATTCACGCTTCAAAGTCATCGGACCAGAGATTTACTCTCCATCTTCTTCACTTAGTCTCATTGTACTTTCCGGTCAAGAATGTGAATAATAAATAAACATTCGAAAAGTATCTTTTCAATGATGTTTATTTGACTTGCTTTTTCTCCAATTTTCTTTCTATTAAGCAACGCCGCTTAACGCATCATTGGCTTTAATGATCGAACAATTTTCACTATGTGTATTGTGTATCCAAAAAAATATATGTACCTACATGTAAATGCACATTTATATATGTATAACTTATAATATAATTTAATATATCTACATCTATAAAGGAAAAATGTTAAAACTAAACCAGGGAAAATTTTCAAAGTCTATTGGTTAAATAAACTTTTAAGGACTTTTATAGTTAGCTATCAGAATGCTTTCATTCAATAAAGAAAAAAGCAAGCATAGCATAAAAGTGACATAAAAATGCTTCACATATTAAACTTATAATTTTTTTTCTTGTCCAATTACTCAAAAGTACCCTTCGAGCTTGCCCTTCGAGTAAAGAAAAGGACTGAATTAGAAATATTTTGCCCATTTTTTAGAGAAATTCCCTTTATCTGTTTTCTCTCTTCTCTCTTTCAGCATGAAATAAAATCAATATAGATACAGAAACAATGTAGGAACATCAAATTGGCGCCACCGTTTAACTATAACATTTTATGAACGGGAAGAAATGAAATGAAATTATAATTTTTTAAATGAATGGAAATAAGCATTGAAGTGGGTGGAAGTTAAACAACCTTCACAAGATAAATCTAAACATTCTTGTGAGTGAAAATTTCATTGAGTTACTGACACTACTAACAAAAGTCCCCCGAGGCGCCGGAAAACAACTCAGCATTTTTATTTGGCTTCTTTTTCTTTTCTCCTCTTCTCCGTCTCTTAATTTGTTTTCAAATTTAACGTCTTGACTTTTTTTTGCCTTCCTCATATTAACGTGATTATAGACTTCAACCCCATATATAATTTGTACAAGAAGAGAGAAAGAAAACGCATAGACCCCTTGTGACTGCCCCAAACGATCATTTAAGAAACAAAAAATGCCCATTCATAGAGAATAATTTATCGATTTACTTTAACATAAACGCATCCTGCACCACATTCTTTATTAAGGTGAAGATACCAAAAAACTTACTTATATGGCTAATAAGCTGTTAAAAGTAAAACAAAAACATTTATTATAGAGAAAGGAAGCAATTATTTCGGCATCTTTTGATGCTTTTAACTATGGAACAAAACATTGAACCACAGACCTGAAATTTTTTAAGGATCAGTCAAACTAAATTTCTAATTAAATGTATTGTTAAAATCATAATTTTATTAGAAAAACCCAGGTGAAAATTGTTCATTTGATATTAATATATAATCAAACCAATTGCATTCAAGATTTTAAGTCTATACAGCTGCATTGAAAGCGGAGTGTTTTTGCTTAAGAGTGAAAGTGTGTTGCTTAAAGTTTATAAATTCAAAGAAAATTTTTGTTAATTTTTGAAATGGTCTTATATGCAACGATGAATATAGTGTAAATGATTAGCTTTAATATGCTACGCAGACAAGTATGGTAGTGTAATTTAAACTTATTGAGTTAACATCATTTGTAACAGTCTTATTAGAATCGCTTTTTTTGTAATTTTATTTGAATTGTTTTTCTTTTTACATCAAACAACTTCTACGTTAAATTACTGGATTTTAATGAAGTTTTCATTCTTTTACCAATAACTATACTTAGAATACCTAAATACCCATTGTATATTTTAATTTTTTTGGTGTGAAAGAAAGTTTACCTAATTAATATCAAGTTTTAGTTCTTACAACAACTTGGGGACATTTTCATTTTTTCATTTAACAAAGAATTAAAGATTAAGAAACTTGATCGCATGATGCATGCCTTACATATCACTATAGCATTCAACTCACTATATTTTGTCTTATAATTCCCAAAAAAAAATGTTGATTTAAACCACTTCATTTAACGCTCTTTTGACACACATGTATCGATTTTCTTTTAATGAAATTTAAATTATTTATTTAAATAGTTTCATCATTCAATCTTCCATGAACATTGCCGAACTAAAGTAAACAAATTCTCATTAAAATCATGAAAAGAAAAAAGGAAAGCTACACACAAATTAGAAGCGAATAACTTAAAACTAGTAGCTTGTTAACTGAGATTTAAACACCAGCGAGTAAGGAACGATTTTGGATATCCATGCATGACAGCAAAGGAAGAAAAAAAAACATTTTATGGAGAATTAAAACATGAAAAGGCAAAAAAATGAGTTTGAAGATTATTCTAAAACGAGTTAAATTATCCAATTAGTTTCATGTTTTCGTGATATTACGAAAAAAAAAGAAGAGAAAACCCAAAAATTCTTAATAAATATCAATCGCCGGCAGTTCCTGTAAGTTCATATATATTACTTACTTTCATCGTTTAAATTGTTTTTTCAATAAGACCATGAGATTGTATGTTTTAACAATTGTATGGAGCGAAGATGAATTCCTGACAGAGCTCAACCCAACGAAAAACAATTCCAGAAGATTCTTTCTTAAAATTTAAAAATTGAAATATTGATCATCGATCGAAGGTTATAAAAGGTATTGTTAACTTTCAACATATCTACATACATATATTTTCATCAAATTTTGAGTTATCTAAATCATTTTTGTGAGTTTGTGACTCACCAATTGAATTTCCTTACAGGAAGTGTGTAGTTCCCTACAAACAGTGTGTTTAAAGTGAATTTCAAAGAGTAGAAAAAAATAAATCAGTAATTATGGAATGTTTTAATCACTGGAATCAGAATATCTTTTATCAATGCTACATTATTTATACTAATAGTTTAACCAGATAATCGAAAAAACTGGAGGATTAATTACCTGAAAAACTTGTGCGATCTTTTACAAACATTTTGTGTGTCATAAATGTACTTAAGGAAATTTGTGTAACTTTAGTCAGTATCCCGAGCAGCACAAGCGGCAATTCCGCAAAAGTTAATTTCGATTCTCCTTATAGGAAACTAAATACCCATTGCAAGTTTCCTATAAGGTTCCTACTGGGTCATATAATTAACGCTGCAAGTCAGAATTCACGGAATCCGCTAAAAGCAAACCATAGAAATACAAGCGGAGAAGTTGTGCCGCCTGGATATGTTCATACACAAACATAATCTTTGTTATTTACATGATGAAATCTCGCTATAGTTCTTTATGTGGTTATTTATGCATGTACGTAGGCGCGCTTTGTTGCTTCTATCGTATTATTGATTTTTTATTACAGTTACAACCAATTAATGAATTAACAGATCATACCTTGTGGTCGATTCTGAGCTTAAAAATTCAGAAAAATTTTCTCAACGTGAACATAAAATTTTAACATCTGTCTCACTCCGAAAATTCAGTAAACATAAAACATAAACTATCCTCTCTGCTATGTTCTCAACACATCAAGTCCTTTTCTCATTCCCTTCTTTATTTTGTTACTTTTGATGATGTGTTAAAGTCATTCACGGATAGTCAGTTCCTTTATAGATTCTTTATTCACATTAACAACTATAAAAACACATAATTTGTCTTTTTATTGATTTCCAAAAAAAAAAAGTTCTACAACATCAGATAAAATATATATTTTTTTTAACGATTTGTCATTAGTTTCGTTAATAACTAAATATTCTTTTATTGAAGCCTGTTTGCTTAACTAAATATCTATTGATGATTAGTTAACATTTCGGTTAATTGTGATTCGAAATGAAATTAATTAGCATAATCTACAAAACTTTCTTTTTTGTAGCAGAAATATTTATTATTTAGTTATTTAAGCAGATTCCCGATGCGATCATGACTTAGTCAATTTCAACTGTTAATGATTGCATCAATCTAAAGAAAAATGGTTTCTATTGTTTTATATATCGATGACACTATCATAAGCATACCGAAAGGGGAAGAATGTTTCACTTTAACATTCATTAAATTATTTACACTACACTGCACTTAATTACAGGCAATAAATGTCAGCTGTATCAAAATATGTGCTTATAATGATTTCCCACCCTCGCAAACCATTGTTCTCTAACATCTATATACATTCGCATGACGAACTACTTTTTTATCAATGTAAAGTTCGAGTGAAAACGGGGATTAATATATAATGTATTCTCTCTCGAAGTATCACTAATGAAAGATAAAATGGAAACAAATGTCTTTGGAAATATTCATTTTTTCGAATAATTCGATTGACTTAATATTACCAATAGTTTGGTGCAAGAGAAATTTTATTTTGATTCAGTGTTAGAAAAATCCAAAAACTATTTATTCGACAGTAAATTAATGCTCGACATAAATCTTCATAATTTGTCAAATATTTAATTATTAATGACCAATATGCTATAATTTAGTTATAATCATTTTTTAATTTAAAGAATGAGTTCAAATTATTCCAGAAAGCTTAAATTGAGATTGTAAAATATTCAATCAGTTCCTTTAAATTTACTTTCAAGGATAATAGATATTTTCATTATTACTTCAAACTGTTCAACTACATAAATGAATTATTGAGATACAAAGAATGTTTTATGATTTTAAGAATAAATGAAAGAAAATGTATCTTTGTACAACTGAGAGATTACGTAAATGGCGAGTGTCACCCATAGCATTCACATTAACTAATTCAATAAAATAATTTCTTACCCTACAAATCACATCATAATGTAATCAAAATAGTATAATGATTATTTTGCTGCATGCTTTTGTATAACATTACAATAATTTTAAAAATCGTCACACTATGAAATCAAACCTCGACCACCATCTCCGCTACTACTGAATGCTTCCAATGAAATAATTAAATAAAATTAAATGTCAACAGTATGGAACCAAAATTAAATACGTGATGTTCCCAAAATATTTAAACTTACCTCGTTTCCGCTTTTTATAAAGCAATCTTTTTAATTTACAATTTTCACCAGTCAATTGAAAAAAAAAATAAAACTAATTCTAATAGAAATATCTATGTTGTAAAATAAATAAAATCATAATCAAATTTGGTTCATATTTTCGTTCCACATTGTTAGTGATCTTTAGCTTTTGAACAATATTTCGATTAATTAATTCGTTTTAGCTTCAATTTCAGGTTTCAATTGTTAAACGGCATGGTAATATCTAAAATTACATCTGACAAAGTAGTTTCAATATAAGAATATAACCTCTCATTATTTTTGCTGCTTCGCGTTTTAAACGGATGTCCAAAGCCACGCAATTATGAATCGCTTTGATAAATGAACATTTTATTCAAACGTCATTGATGTGTTACTTATTGCTCTGCATAAATTAAATCTTCAACAGTTGACTTCTATGCAAGGTTAAATTAAAATTTAAAATATTGCTACTTCATTGTAAGAACTGCGTCATAATTCTGTTATGAACATTAGGTTACGTTTTTTTTTGGATTGAAACAATTATATTTCTTATATTGATATACCTACATGATGCGGATAAATAACTAATGAATAATTTATTCGATTTAAATGTGATAATTGATATTTTCATTCAGATATTATTTTATCAATCATTATTCAGCCTTTTTGAATCTAGATCAAGCCTTTGAAAAAAAATTTGCTTCATTATTCTTCATCATTTTTCAAGAATGAAATCTTAACTAAGAAGAAGTGTGACCTTTCTTTTAGATGTAGCGTGATGTTTGTTAACTACCAGTTAGTTAAGAAGATTTCGTATGATAAACAATTTTTGAAAATAATAATATTATACCACATATTCCTTATTATTCAAATCGAAAACTGTTGCATTCATTTATTGCTAGAAACTTTACTTGGTCTTTTCAAAAAGACGCTTCAACATTTCAAAAACGATAATGGTGCGTGCTGAACTTAACTTCTTCTTTTTCTTTTCATCGTCGTATATCTTTTTCCAATTCAACTTCTCTAACACACTTGGACTTTTGTTAATTGTGATGGGCAGTGATAGCGTACATCAATCAAAACATTTTTGACACAAACTTCCAACTAAGAGGAATGACTTGGGTTGGGCACTGATCATTAACGATTAGTACTTGTTGAAAATCCCACAATAATTGAGATTTATTGAATTGAAATGCTTTGTCTCACTTCAACTGCTACCAATTGAAATGTGCACGAAAAGCATCATCAGGGAATATAATCGCACTTCATCGCATACACTATGAGAGCATCTGGAAACTGGATTGTATACAAATAATACAAGAGGCATAACACAATTTATCATTCAAAATTTTTTTTGAAGATCTCAATAAGTTATTAATAACTTCTGATAGCGGCTTTTCATTTCGAATTATTTTTGTAATCAATCAAAATTTGGTTTTATTTTAGTTTTGATGTGAAAGAAATTTTTTCTTCACGTCTGACTGTCGATTTTAAGGTTTCGATTTTAACAATCAATAGAAGCAATTGTTGTTAATTATAATCATGAACTCTGAAGGAGCAAACTATGAATAATAAAAAGTTTTATTTTTTAAACTTCTTCAATTTTACACTCTTAATCTTTCTATAAGATATTCGAGAAACCATTGTACACTAAAATGAAAAATGAAGTTTCTCTCGAATGATTTGAGCGGTCGCTGTTGTAAAGAAAACCTAACTTTATATTTCATTTTGAAGCAAAAAGCAGAAGATTAATAATCAATCAACTTGAGAGAGAAAATTGGCTTTTAACTGGACGATCAAGTTTAATGTCGATTCAAATTAAAGGTTGTTATATAATACTTTAATATTTAAACTTTTTTCCTTCTACTATCAATAAGAATTAAGAAAAGTACTTATGATACTACCTTAAACTTGTGTAATTATGAGTTGCATATGTTTTCTCAATATTCGAGTATATTTAATTGATTTTATGTAAGTAGATACATATTTATTCCTAAAATTTTCAAATATTGTTTTTTCAATTAAACATTAAATTGTGAAAGCCAAATTAACGTTGGTAGGGACATTCTCTCCCGCTTAGTTATCCAATCATTCATTTCAGTCGCAACACTCAAAAACCACAAGAAGCTGATCGAATCAAAAAAAATAAAACCTTAATCTAGAAATACAAATTTTTACTACTTTATCAGCGTAAATAATAAATTGATTGATTGAAAGAAATACACACAATAATATTTTTTAATCTAATGAATTAGATAGGCAACTGGTATTATTAAATTATCGCTTTGAAGCAATTCAATAAACGAGAAATATCCCAGAAATTGGAAAAGAGCTTTCATTGTAAATACGGATATCAAATTATTATAATAAATTTTGATGTGTTATCTGGGTTTTACGAATATTAATTATAGCCACGATTTAATTTAGTGGAGGAAATTCAAATTGATACAAATAGTTTGGCTTGAATTATGCGATGGTTTTGTATTTTATTTTAAAATTATTATAAAAGTGACTAATCTTAAAGGTGATTAAAATTTTTCAATCAAAAATTTGTTTTTGTATGTTATTTATGACAGACCCTGAATTAAAATTTTTCACTCGATGATTTCTGATTCGTGACGGTTGAAGAAGAAAATAACTTAGGACACAAAAACTCAATTTACTTAACATGATTAATATATTTTATTTTTAATAAACACAAAATTCGATATATTTGAGTTTTAACTTCTCACATTAGCTTTCGAGATCGTCTACTTGTTTTTTCAGAAGGAGAAAATGGCTCGTTGTTGCATGAAATGTATGTATAGAGAGATAAAGAAATTGAGATATCATTCATCAGAATGTCAACCGTTGGTACAAACACGATGTTTCTCCTTCAAAAGTTAAAGAGCATGGCGGAGACTGCTTTTATAAAATTGGAAAAAGATTTGTTTTTAAAAAATCTAGTTCTGCTAGCTTCGAAAGGAATGAATAGATAGTAAAAAAGATGAACATAAATCGATTTGAATGCGCTCATTAATCAGTTTCTAGAGTTTTGACAAATTATTTCGATTGCAATTTGCAAATCATTTACTCTCGGTAGTTTGATAAAAATTTCTTTTTACTTTGAAAAATTAGCTAACTACAGTTCTTTCTATTTTACTTGTGATTTGAGATCGATGAAACGGTTGTTAAGATAATAATAAAACTGGTATTTATATCTCACCGTGCTGAATGCTAATCGATAAAGGAGTTTATATTTTGCTGTCTGCCATTTTGAAGCCCGTCAAAGTATTATTCGAATTAATCATCAGTCGCAATCAGGTCTTATCTCTACGGTCAACCATTTGCAAACTCAATTTAGAAAAGTTTTCCCTTTTGTGCAAGTTAATAATCGTACATAATATTAATTTAAATTGATGTATGTATATACTATGTATTTATTAATGAAAATATTAAAATCAAAAACGTGATACAAAAAAAT